GGAGTAGTTAGAAGATTAAATTTTAAAACAGCGTTAAACAAGGAGATTGAATCATACCATCCCAGAAAAGTGGCTACGTTGAACGGCGAATTCAAGTTAGTTTAGAAAATAGTTGCGAAAAATAGGAAATGGAAGATGTTAGGCAAATCAACTCACAATATCTTCATAGATTTTAAATGCATTTCCAAATTGACCGGCTGAAATAATTTCTCGTCTAAATTATCAAGAAAGTTAGAAAAACTTGAAGAAAGCGCGGATCTCGTAATACATACTCTTTTATTTTATCGATAAAGCTTGTCAAACGACCATTCTTGTCAAAAGTTGCCTTGACAAATTGATTTTCCAAGAAGAACCAATCGTGTCCCACCGCATGAGCTAAAATAGTAATGAAAAATTATATCAGTGAAAATAACAATGAACAATGGATTGATTAGTGATAAAGAATTTCCCAAGGAGCGCTCACCAGTCGCAGGAGAAGTGATGTCACTTATACCAACGTCAACGCTTTGGATACCCAATCCAGCAGTGTCCTTAACTGGAAACAAGGGATACAGAAAATATGGTCGAAATTGTAGAGATCAAATGAACAAACAAACGAACAAAAAAAAAAAAAAAACATTAACCAAGAACATAGCCAGACTTTTGATCCGTGGCGTATTGAGCGAAAGGACCTAATCCCGGAGAAACTGGAACTTCGACGACCTCGGTCCTACTCCAACCGAGTGTATTGAAAACCAGTAACCCTATAGGTGACACATATAATATATAGATTATTATGAAAATTCGGATTTATATTATATAACATGAGATCATATTAACCGACCTTCTTCAGCACATGGGGTAGATGAAGGCTTCCCGAGGAGTATTCCGAGAGCTTTTTCTCGAAGTTCAATGCCTGAAAGAATAAAATTACTTGCCATTTCAATGAAAATTTTACTTTTATCACCACTCACTCCTTAAAAAATCGACCATACCTCTTTTCTCAACATCTTCATAAAACTAAATTTGAAGCAAAAATTCAGAGTCGAGTCAATTAATATATCAATGGGAGCGTCAAGATTAGAAATATTTTCACCTTGTAAGCATCATCATAAACCATTTCAATAGAGGAGCCCGGTAGGACGTCGTGAAATTGGTTTCTGCGAGGAACCGAAGATGTCAAATAACCACTCAGACAGAATTCGCCAAAGGACATGAATCAATAAAGCACTTACAACAAAACATATTTCCATAGTTCCTCCAACGTTTCTTTTGGATACCTATGCAAATAGAATTCTAGTTGGATCTAATGTTATGCACGAAATCGTACAACGTAGAAAACACCTACGCGCCATTTCCCTGTTCGACGTGTGAGGCGAACGTAGACAAGATTTCAACGTCTCGCAAGAGCAATTCGGATTTACGATTGTACCGTTTGATCCGTCCATGTGACGTATACGTGCCTCTGTGGAGCTCAAAATACTAATATACGTTCAAAAATCATCCGATTGTTATTAGCGTAAATAATCGGAATCAAGGTATGATTAATTCACTTCGAACACGAGACCCACCAATTCACCCTTCCAAGAAACCAATTCTGAAGAATTCCTCTCAAGTCTTTCGTAAAAATCATCTGCCGAACCCATATCGACCTTAGCCAGACCATCCTGGCAAATTAAAGAAAAAAAATTCTTATTATCTTATCTATACGACAAATCGATAGGAGCCCGGAAGGAATGAAACCTTACAACATCTCTCAATCGATGAAGACGTTCGATCATGGATGCAAGCGGTCCACCACCACCATCCCCGTTGCCAAATAACAAGAGAGCTTCGTCGCTTAATTCTTTGTCTTTATGGTTTCTGACGCTGCGTATTAGTTCTCCTGGTCTACATTGGGCCACGTACCTGAAAGCACGAATTTAAAATTTAGTGAAGCGAGCCAATATTGTCAAGTAGAAGAATGAATCGAGTGGATATATTTACGTTTCAGCAGGGCACATGTGAGTCAAGACCTTTTTTAGAGAATGAAATATTTTAATCAAAAATTATCATGACGAGGGCCAATGAAATTATCAATGTATTTATATCACCTTGGTGCCGTCGATCCCAATCCAGTAAAAAGTGGTGTTTGGAAACTTGATTGTTAAATATGAGAATTAGAATTGAAGAGGATAAACAAGGGATAAACTCAAAAGCGTACAGTGTTGATATTGTTCCATGAGAGTTTTTGCGTGAAAAAATATTTCAAGCCGGCGCCCTTGATAATCTGCGGTAATTGAGCAGAATATCCAAAAGTATCGGGGAGCCAGAATACTTTACATCTACGACCAAAATTCTTTTCAAAGAATCGTTGCCTATCAAATTATAACTTCCGCATCAACAAATATACAATACGTAGTTCCCCCCAAAAAAGAAAGAAAAAAATGTTTTTAACGAGTCGCTACCCGAATAGGAATTGTCGGCAGAACGCCTCCCCACTTGGAAGGTTGCAATCCATTTCAACCCAAGTCTAAAGGAAATAGATAAATGAATAACTTTTCGAGTAATCTTGACAGTTGAAAGCAATACTTACCCCGCCGATAGGTAAGAATTGCCCGTCGGCAGATTTCTCTTGAACTTTTTTGAATAACTCGGGATAGTAAATTTTTAGCCATTCGAATTGTTGCGCCTGGGAGCAAACAAATTTATAATCGGGATAGAGTTCCATCAGTCCAATTTGCGTTGACCAGCTTCTCGCCACCTTTCTCTTGGTTTCGTCAAACGGCCTGACATTTTAACGTGTGACAACAACTGTGAGTGAGCGTGAATATTTATTGTTTGAATAGAATCTTGTGTGAATACACACCATAACCAAGCCGTATCAATGTGACAGTTTCCAACGGCCGTCAATCTGAGTTGTGTGTTGCCATTTTTATGTTTTAGAAACTCGCGAGAAATGTCGAGAGCTTCATCGATGGAACTTTCATCGTTCGGACGGAATGCGTTAACTATACTATTCGCAGTGTGAAGGGCTTGAGCCGATCTCATAGTATCGTGAGGAATTTCTTTGGCCATCTCGAGTATGATTTCAAAATCATAGAACAGCTTCCAGGCCCTCTGATTGGGTACGGTCAGTTCGACCTGTTTAAGAGTAAAATATCTATTCGGATCAGGAGGATTTATCGATCCGCCGAATCCGTTGCCGAACATTTCTATAACATATTTTACGATTAGCGAATGTACATTGATAGGAATGAGTACATCGACGTACTAAACGGAATCCCAAATTACCATTACAAGCCATCTCAATATAGAATTCAAATTCCTCGCCACCCTTGGAGCGACGCGTAAGGACATATTCGACTCGGCGGCTATCACCTCCTGGTAAAGCGAATGTTAGAATCGAACGGAAGACGTCAAATTATTTCAAGGTGAGAAAAGAACTCACCACCACCGGTGAGACCCTGAATGGGAACGCCATCTGTGCTCCAAACCATCCCTTCATTATTTGCATCCCATACGAACTGCACTTCCTCATGCTTCCAATCTTCAGGAATAGTGACATGAACGTGAAACCAATGTGTGGACTAGAACAACGGGATGAAATTAAAAAAAAAAAGATTCTTCTTTTAATTATTTGATAATTGAATTATGAAAGAGTCACCTACCCAACTGGGACCGAAAGTGTCACCACGCTTTGCAGGTTCGTAATTTCCTTTAACCGCCTCCTCAAAGCTAATGCGTTTGAGGCTCGGAACTTTATACACAAGTAACTGAATGTACTTTTCCGAGCCTGTTCTCTTGACGTAAAGTGAGGAACGTAAGTTTACATCGGTAAAGAAACTTTCCGATATAAATTTTTCGCAACGTTCGACGGTAATTTGTCGATTGACACGCGGATAAGAAGCCATGACTCAAAAGCTTCTAAGTAAGCAAGAACTAGAGTTGTGCCAAACTTATAATCGAATTGGATCGTGCAACGTCGTATAAATCCATATACGTATTTAAGTTATCTCAAGATAATCATTCACTCCCTATTTTGTTGAAATGCCATACGCACATGCCATATTTTCTTCCCGAAACCGTTAATTGGTATAGTGAACGTCACCACTAGTGACCCGGCGTGATCACGGCTCTCATTGGTAGCACATGCAGACAGTACTTACTGTAAAAATACAATATCTAATTGTTCTCTTTTTAAGTGTTCAATTATACGATAACTAGAGTTTATAAGTACATAAATGCTGTATGTGCATACGTACCAAAATGAGAACCTGATACGTACCGTAATTGATTTTCACGTACGACAAGCACCTTTCCTTTCCGAGTTCTACTACGTAAGATCCACGGTCACTTCTGATACGTATAGATGCGAGACGTACGTACGTACACATTTGTTTAAGTGCAGCGTCCTCACGACCACAGTATCTTGCATACATACATGCATGTTTACTTGTGTTCGAGAGAAATTTCCATTCATTCGTTCACGAAGAATGCATACCTATATATAAAGTTCAATGGTATAAATTTCCATCCTCAAAAATAAAAATAAAAATAATAAAATTTTCAAAAATGTCGCATCATCATCATCCTTCCATCTACTCTGTAAATTCGTCAAATGCCTCTTCCACATCCCTCAACCAATACACCATGAAAATCGAAGAACCGAACTATGAATGGTTAGAGGGACGTGCATGCGAGAATGACAAGAATGGTCCTTACTTGTTACCAATTGATTCTGGCGAAATTGATAAACTGGATTTCCAGCATTATATTATCAGATATGTTTTGACTTCTTATTTCACGGCTCCAATCGATATGTCGAAAGTTGAGAAAGTATGCGGTGAGTGTCTGAAAAGAGGAAAAACGTAGTGCACCCAGATGCCATATATACGCATCTCACCTACCTCACCTTTTCCCTTCTTTTCCCATTATCCTCTTTCAAGACGTAGGATGTGGATCAGGTATATGGACAATGGAGAATGCAACGATGTTCCCTAAAACTTCGTTCGTCGGTATCGACGTTCGAACCATGGTTCCCGAGGAAATTCGTCCGCCCAATTGCGAATTTCGATACTGCGACATATTCGAAGGGCTGGACTTTCCCAGAAATCATTTCGACTACATCTATCAACGCTCGATGCTAAGCAGTATACCGGAGAAAAGGTGGAATTATGTTATAAAAGAACTGATCAGATGCACTAAGCCTGGAGGATATGTCGAGGTTAATAAGCTTTATAATAGAATCATGTTTTTCTTTCTTTCTTTTTTCTTTCTCGAGAACAACCTTCTTAAATCATAACTCCGGTATGGTGACAGCTCACCGAAATGCAAATAGGCCTTCACAATCAGGGCCCGTATTTGAAAAAACTTCACCGCTATGTCAACAAAGCGTTTGAACTACGAGGCATCTACCAACGCACCATAAAACGTCTTCCCAAGCTTCTGGCAAAATCCGGATTGGTGGATGTCAGCGTAAAGTCAATATCGATCCCTTGCGGACACTGGGGCGGTCAGGTCGGAGAGTGGATGAGAGATAATGTGATTGAGGTGATCAAAGCGTACAAGTTGTTTTGTATCAAGCAAGGAGTGATTGGAGGTGGTAATGACAAGGAAGGTGGATCCCGAAGGAAGGAAGGAACAAAGGGTGACAATGGGGAAGAAAAGATCGTGAATGATAAAAGGAAACATGATGAAAGGGATGAGTGGGATTTGGACGCGGAGAAGGCGATGGAAGAATGCGAAGAGTTTAAATCCTATAATAATGTTTTGATTATAGTAGGCCGAAAACCAAGAGAGGGTGAGTTGGTAGATACATTAAAAGACTTTGAATCAGAAGACCTGGAGTTAAGGTTAAAAAAGTTGAAGGTGGATGAACTCGAAACCGAAAATTCAAATGATAAGAGTGAGCGCGATGGGGGCGAGAAGGCTATTGAAGAAGCAGATATTAGCGACGAAGAAGATTTAAGAGACACTGAAGAGTCGTAGGAACTTCATAACGCTTACTGTACTTGCATAGCATATTATTCATTTGATATATATAAAACACGTTAAATCATTTTTTTATTATTTAAGCTGATATTGTGATTATGATGAAATGATGATGAAACCTTATTTAATTTTTCACTGAACACTAGCTGAATTAGAATTCTTTCCTCCGAACAATTGCGTCAATTGAGTCTTAACGAATCTCTACTAAATCTAATTCAAGAACCATGTATTTGCAAACACGACATCCCTATTCTTTTACGGCATATGATGACAATTTATGATTTTCACAGCGATTTACTTAATCATCTTTTGCTATCCTGCAAATATGATGACAAATTCATACGTATGTTGCGTCAGGATAATATTTAAATACTTTGGTTAGAAGACCAACCAATTCGAAAATTCAATTTAGACGAGAAAATGGCAACTCTAAAGATAAAAATTGGAGATAAAATTCCCGACGATGTATACTTCGGTGTACTCGGCGAAGGCGAGGATGATCCTCGCAAGATTACCGCTCGAGATGCTTTTCTGGACAAGAAGGTAGTTCTATTTGGAATTCCCGGTAAGCAAGGATAAATATTGTCGGCCGTTCGTGACAGCAATGATATTAGTCTCTCATCTTTTCAATATATCTGAAACAAAAAAAAAATAAAAAAGGCGCCTTTACTTCTGTCTGCAGTTCACAGCATTTACCACAATATGTTGAAAATGCAGAAAAATTGAAATCCAAAGGTGTCGATGTGATTGCGTGTATTGCTGTCAATGGTATTTAATTTTTGTTCATCTCATTTTTTTTAACCAATATTTTTGTTAACTTCTAACTTTTTATATTTGAACCAAAGATCCCTACGTTATGAGAGAGTGGGCACACGCTCACAAAGTTGGTAACAAAATCCTTATGCTAAGCGACGGTGATAAGGCATTTTATTCTGCGCTGGGACTCCTCCAAGAAATTCAGTTCGCGGGAGAACGCGGATACAGATTCTCGATGTTCGTGGATAATGGTGTGGTCAAGGTACTTAATATTGAGGAGCCAGGTTCGTCGAGTTATAAAATCTCCGGACCGGAACACATGTTGGAAGATCTGGAGAAACTTTGTAAAAAGTGAAGGATGCCGTATGATTAATGGACGGCACTTATTATTCATGTATGCTTTTTCAAATTAAAATAAATCAATAATGCAAAGTGCTGAATTTTTAAAAATATATTGTAAATAAAAGGTTAATATACCTTACTTATTTATAATATACAATACATTATATCTTTGTGAATTGATGATACTGTAGGTTGTAATATTTTTAAATCAACTTTATGTTTAACGCTTTTACATAAGGTGTTTTTGATAAATAAATTTCACAGATTGTTATTCCTATTACTAGTCGAAATTATGTCATTCAGCTGCCGAATTATTGCCGAATTTGGCAAAATTTAATAATAAAAATATTGACGAATTATTTAT